TGGCTGTTGCCTGATGATGCCGGGTTGTAATCACAAATCTGGCTGTCTCCTGATGATGCCGGGTTGTAATCACAAATCTGGCTGCTGCCTGATGATGCCGGGTTGTAATCACAAATCTGGCTGTCTCCTGATGATGCCGGGTTGTAATCACAAATCTGGCTGCCGCCTGATGATGCCGGGTTGTAATCACAAATCTGGCTGTCTCCTGATGATGCCGGGTTGTAATTACAAATCTGGCTGTCTCCTGATGATGCCGGGTTGTAATCACAAATCTGGCTGTCTCCTGATGATGCTGGGTTCTAATTACAAATCTGGCTGTCGCCTGATGATGCCGGGTTGTAATCACAAATCTGGCTGCCGCCTGATGATGCCGGGTTGTAATCACAAATCTGGCTGTCGCCTGATGATGCCGGGTTGTGATTACAAATCTTGCTGTCTCCTGATGATGCCGGGTTGTAATCACAAATCTGGCTGCTGCCTGATGATGCCGGGTTGTGATTATAAATCTGGCTGTCGCCTGATGATGCCGGGTTGTAATCACAAATCTGGCTGTCTCCTGATGATGCCGGGTTGTAATCACAAATCTGGCTGCTGCCTGATGATGCCGGGTTGTAATCACAAATCTGGCTGTCTCCTGATGATGCCGGGTTGTAATCACAAATCTGGCTGCCGCCTGATGATGCCGGGTTGTAATCACAAATCTGGCTGTCGCCTGATGATGCCGGGTTGTAATCACAAATCTGGCTGTCTCCTGATGATGCCGGGTTGTAATCACAAATCTGGCTGCCGCCTGATGATGCCGGGTTGTAATCACAAATCTGGCTGTCTCCTGATGATGCCGGGTTGTAATTACAAATCTGGCTGTCTCCTGATGATGCCGGGTTGTAATCACAAATCTGGCTGCCGCCTGATGATGCCGGGTTGTAATCACAAATCTTGCTGTCTCCTGATGATGCCGGGTTGTAATTACAAATCTTGCTGTCTCCTGATGATGCCGGGTTGTAATTACTGGCTAAACGTTGTGGTGGTGGCGGCGAGTTTAACGACACACATTGTACACTGACGCGATCTAACACAAACACCTCGACCGCGGGCAACATTGAACGCGAAGGCCTTCAACTCCTGCTGCTACGTGTTCAACTGACGTGTGACCACTTCTGCGAGCAACATAAATAAGCCTGTGCACGAGCTTAAGTAAGAATGTGCACGCTTCAAACGCAATTTCATTCGAAGAAAAAAACAAATTATAACGCAACCTCTCTCGGCTGGGACTAGAGGCCTGCGCAGCCGACAGGGCCTCAATGGGGGGTGGTGGAGGGGAGTGAACGACTTTTAAGCGACTCCCCGAGTGGGTTTAGGACTGATCGAGCAAGGCGACGGAGGCGAGTGTGACTCACGAAGAAGATGTCCGTATCGCCCCCCTTCTTCTTGTTCGTCGTCGGCGGTGGCGCCTTCGCCGTCTTCTTCACCGGCCCCTCCGCCTCGGTCGGCCCCGCGGACACCATGGCCCTGCCCGTGTGGCGATGGATTCCTCGCCCGGATCGATTCCTTTAAAACAAAAACCGCGGCGACTTCCACTCCATCGATAGCGTCGATTGAGTTTCACCGGGGCACTTTGAGGCAACGCGCGGAGGGAGATTTAAATGCGACCGGCAGTTATCGTTAGGGGAAGCGATTAACCAACACGCTTGCGACGCGACGGTGCCTTCGTTTGATTGGGGTGGTCGATTAATCTGATGTGTGTGTGTGCGGTGTGGGGCCGAGGGAATCGATTCTTAATAATATGTCGAGGAATCGAAAGATGACATCGCTCGTGCTGTTATTTGCCTTTTCGCTACGACGCAGCGCCTGGATCGATTATTTGGTCATTAATTTTAAAGCGATTTAGATTCCAAATCTCCATGGCCAAAATTCGATATGGCCAGAGAATTAATAAATAAAGTTGTGCCCAAAAACGTGGGGACAAGTTAAAGCAGAGTTTAACAAAAATGGTTTGCCAAGACGCAAGTGAATTTTGATAGCTGCCCGCCAGCTTCCATCTCAATGCAGTGTGCTTCCAGAGACAAACACACACTTTGGAAAGTGTTACACAATCCCATGCGTACAAATGGCTTTTCCTAACCCCCTTTTTAAATGCTTGAAATGTGTGGCAGGAAGCCAATGTACACGTACAACCTTAGGCACGAGAGGAAACTAAACATTTTTCTAAAACTATAAACATTTTTTTTTACCAGGTTAATGCCCACTGAGCCATATAGCCCTTTTTCAGAAGCGACTCAAAATGATAGCTCAACGAAGTGGCTTGTCACGTGGAAATTTAAAGGAGCCAAATACAATGCTTTAAATGCGCGTTGCTTCTAAATTGGAGGGGAAAAACCGGATGGACCCGGAGAAAAATCCACGCGACCGCGGGAGAAAGACACCGCAAACTCCAAATGAAGGGAACGAACCCACAACCTCCTATCCTGCATACCAGGCCAATGAAAACAACAATGAAAAATGTAAGGGCGTACTCTTTGGTTCTTTCGGTAAAGTCACGTAGGTAGAAAATAATAACAGATCACGACGTTTCGATCGAAACCACGTGATCTATTATTATTTTCTACCTACGTGACTTTACCGAAAGAACCAAAGAGCGTGGATTCCTGCAGTCACGAAAGCTTCAAATCAAGATGTAAAGGCACGTTCCCAAACCGCATTTTGCTATACACACTGCCACCTCCTGGTCAAAAATCTCACAACCCATCATCTTCACGTAAAATACCGGGTTATTTTTGTATTAGATCGTGTAAATATAAATGTGTCGTTAAACCCGCCACCACCCGACACAGGCTTGTCACGTACACTGAACATGCCAATTCGTTCCTGGCACAGCACACCGGTGTGTTGGAGAGAAAATCCACAATATTTACAACGAGGCGGTGTTCTTCACTAATTTTCAGACGATGCTGGGTGGGGGGGGGGGAAACTTTCGCTGATAAGACATCGTCAGCGTGAGAGCCGCCACACATTTCAAACTATTGTGGGTTTGACAGCAGCAGCAGCAGCAGCACGATGATTATGGGGTGTTGTCACGTGTTGTATATTGTTGGAGGTCGCGCATCAGGGGCCAACCAGGGGCCCGTGTGGCCTTGCAATGAAGACCGCTGAACCAGAGTGTCCACGTTCCAATGAGCTACAGATGAGATATTGAGAGTTGCAGAATGCTTCTAAGACCGCCTACCCTTTGCCTCCACGGCTCTGGATGGCGTGCCACGCTACCGCAGCTCAATAGATGACATGTATTGGCAGCGGGAGCTTGTAAGCTGCTAGTTAGTTTAACACGTAGGCTTTCGCGACCAATATTATTCATAATAAAGGTTTTTGGGTTAGATCGCGTTATTTATAAATGTGTCGTAACCCTCCACCACCCGACACGGCCAATCAGCAAAAAAGTGTCACGTTGACAAAAGACAAATAATTCACTATTTTATGAAGCTGCTAGTTCTGCAGTGTTCATGTTAGTACCCCCGCTGTTGATAACCAATGCAGTGGTCCTAGCGGCGGTTTGGGTTGCCATCTTCGAGGTACAACCACAAAAACCCCCCAGGGAATGTCATGGGAATAAGAGGATCTGACAATACGCTAATAGGGGAGAGCCGCGTGTAATTGTGCCGTATTGAGGGCTGTATTCAGAGCCGTCCCTAGAGTACGGCGAATGGGGGCGACAGCCCCGGGCCCTGAACTCTGGGGGGCCCCGCGCTTCGACGTGACGGTGTCAGTTTGCGGGCCGTCGGGGGCCCTACACGGTGTAGGATTTGCCTCGGGCCCCACACCCCCAGCCCTGGCTGTATTATTACACAACCGACAAAACCGGGGGCTTTTGATGTCGCAGGAAGACTACTAGGTCTGAGGACGCAGGACAGGTAACAAGCTTACTTAGCTGGTGCGGTCAAAATAAGTTCATATACACAAAGATAAGCCACATATATTCGTTAACATGTTTATGGCATTGTAATCTACTTTGCATGTTTCATGGACGAAAGCTGCTTTTAAAGAAGGCTGCAGGGAGTTTTTTGAAATATCAAATTATAAGTGGCCCGGTCCAGGGGTTACAACAGTGAGTTGGCTCTGCTGAGATCCTGGGTTCAAGTGTAGTGTAGTGAGGGGCCACCGCGGTGGCCAGAAGTGAAATGCCTCACCTTGTATGCAGGAGGTCGTGGGTTTGATCCCGACCCTGACGCCTGTATATTAGGAGTTTGCGTGCCTCTCTCCCCATGGTCGCGTGGATTTTTCTCCAGGTCCTCCGGTTTTCCCCTCACATTTAGAAACATGCGTTTAGATTATTGGGCTGCAATACATTTCCACGCGATAAGCCACTTCATTCAGCTATTATTTGTGGCCAGATATATGGTAAAATAGTTTAGTTGAAAGTTTAGTTTAGAGTTCAAGGTCTTAGCCTGATTACAAATGAGTGAACAAAAAACCCCATCACATTAAATTTGGTTGTGCACTTAATTTAGCAAAATATCAGGTCTGCGAATCAAAAACATTGTCATGTTTTAACCGAAATTTTTTTGTATCTACCTAATTTGACTAAATTCTGGTTCCGAGCATTAAAACCACCAAATTTAACTTTTATGCAACATTTTTCTCACACCAGGCAAAATGCAACATTGCGCCCCCTAGTGTGTTGATTAAAAAAATAGCTACAGTATTTTAAGGATCTCGGCAGTTTTGTGGATTTCCCATCTATGGGCTTTCTATAATATTAGATTGCTCTGCAACAGCTCCTCGTGGATTCTTCTTTTCATGAGACGACACTGATAAAATATTTGGAATTCTGAAAAAAAATACAAACTATGATTAACAAATATTTTGACCGTGCCTTTTAAGCTCTTCCAGTGCCATACATTCGCTTCTTTGAAAACACATTCTGTGCGTTTCCACTTTCAAGTTATAATTATCCTGTAAAGCTGGATAATGTTTTGTCTTACAAGCAGAATGACTCGCAAGCAAACTTCTTTATTGAAGGTTTTATTCGCTTCCAAATACGTGCCACACAATCATACTTGGTCATCACATAAACCAAATGAGCTGGAATATTTACAGTGTTACCCAAAAATTACTTAAGGAGTACGGCATATATACATTGTCAGCCGGCATTCGCATCAAATCAATCACCAACAATTATATACATTACATTCAATACTCTATGTATGAGACGCAATTTTACATTTCCCCCACTATGTATGTGCCCGTTACAGATTTGTTCAATATTTTCATTCGGAATGTTTGTTCGGTTAAGCAAAATTGTGCAACTGTGAGCTTAACAACGTAATGCAAATCCGAAAATGTAAAACACAAATTGCAAACGCCCTAGAAAGCTCGACTGCAAAGGAAAATTCAAAGAAAGTAACCCGGTCTCAAGAGCAACCCTGTACACTCCTTTATCCAAAACTTTAAACTCATGACAACGGCAATTTAATGCACATCGTGTGTTCCGGCCAACATTCCAAATTCATTGAAACCACTAATAAGTTACGTTAACTTACGTATCATATGTAGCCCACTCACCATATATACTTTAAGTATCAAGAGGAAAGATTAGCAGAGTAAGCATTGGCGATTCTTGTAACACACCGAGCGACAGTTAATCCTCAAGTTATCTTAGTAAACATTTACTTAAGCACCACAAACAGAAGGGGATTGGGGAGACCAAACCTCATTTTGGGCAATAATGTAGCAGGGTGGTTCAAGTAGAAGAGAGGAGATATTCAGCCGCCATATGATTAAAGCCAATAGCGCGCACAATTTCATAAAGGCTCACAATATTTTACTTCTAATGCACACAGCTTAAAAATTGCAAACTATGACCCAGCACACAGTCGATTACCATGCGACTCAGAGTGGCAGTTGATTAAACGGTTATCACACGATAAAATATTTCTTTTCACAAACGTTATGGGTATACATACGTTTACTGCGTTTTTATTCAATAGACACATTATCATTGATCTTGAGATTTTATAGGGCTTAACATAAACTTACATATTTGGCTATTTCAAAAACCGTTACAATGTAGACTCTCATTTTGCCAAACCACAAGAAAGTCAATTAGAAATACTGGACTGTATAGCTTGATTATTTAATTTGATAGATTACGGTTTTTTATAAGTATTGTGTATACTGTGAACCAATCTTGAAGAATGGTAATGTACCTATAAAATCTTGGATACTTTATTTAATCAAATAACTGTTTCATTTTAGAATAAAGTCTTGCATCAACCAACCTGTTCAATGCCCTCCTAAATATGGTATGTTACTTTAGTGCAGTCGCTAACCCACGTGAGATGGAATGTGGGACAATGGGGAACTTAGGTTAACCATCCCATAAGCTGAGCAGGCTGTGCTAATACACAGGGGGCTCAGAGCCGCCGGGGTCCATGCGCCAAGAGGGGGGGGGGGAATTGAACAGAAGAGCCTCATTTAATTCCTTGCACCGGGACCTGTGTGAACCACACGATGCCACTGCCCACACGAATAGGTGCGCCCTGCAACAGACATCCCACACCTGTGCCGAACCCTAAGGAAAGCCGGAGGGAAAAGGTCGGTCAGCGATGAGCTGTCCCAAAGCAGACTGCACATTTTCCAGCAAGCGCAATTAACGGCACCAGAAGATTTAACGTAAGATGCAATCGTAAGATGCAATCGCAATCTCCGCCATCAAAAGTCGCCGTCGAGTGCGACGCGGCAAGAGGGTATCGTGCCGGCTGAACAGAGGCACACTTAGCCTCGGCAAGCATTCAGGAAAGAACAGTCTGACAATTTAGAGATAACGGGGAAAAATGCGGCCATGACACACAACAGCCTCACTTCATAAATAAACAACATGGGACCTTCACCTGGAACAGATTCTGCACTCGCTCATTAACACTAACGATCCTGCAGCTTAATGTCGGAGGTGAAGGGGGGGGGGGTGAGGCTGGAGTTCAATCTGCAAACCGCGGACCCAGAGGTGCATTCGCGCAGCCACAGTGCCCATTCGCCCTGAAATAACCACAGCGAGTGGAAAAATAAATACTGTAATGGACAAGTAGCGGCGGAGTGGTGGGGTGTGAGTGCGTGCGTGCGTGCGTGCCGTGCGTCCTCAGGAGGTGCTGGGCCGTCGCAGGCCGGGCGGCAGCGACACTCGCTGCTCGTCCAGGCGCTTGGCCTGCGTGCGCTGGATCAGGCTCAGGAAGTCCTCGTCGGGCACCGTGGGGCCGCGCGGGGCTTCGGGTGGCGGGGCACAGCGCTGGTCGTCCAGGCGCGAGCCCTAGCGCACGACGGCGAGCAGCGGGGGGAGCGAGCATTGGAAACACGCGGCACGCAAAAGGGAATCCACCGTTACCAAAATATTTATAAGACGTTAAAAAAAAAAAACGGTGATAAAACAAATGTGATTTTTTTTGTCGATTTTTGTCATCGTGTAGATTTTATATAATTAGAGAACGGCGCAACCTCCTCTTATCCGTGACGAAGTAGGGGGACGGGGGGGGGGGAGAGTGAAGCTCGCCTATCCCCGTCTCAAAGACGACCGGGAACCGCTCGCAACGGCGGGCACCCCCAACTTGTAGATGTGCGGCTGTGACCCCCCCCCCCGCCCCCCAACCTGACCTGGCAGCGGATGAGCATGTCAAAGAAGTCATCGTCGGCCTGCGGGACCTCCCCGTTCGCCAGCAGCTGCCCGAGGCCGCCGGCGGCGGCCGCTGCTCCGCCGCACTGAGCCACGTTGAGGCCGGGCAGGTCGGAGCCTGTGGCTCGCTGGTCGTCGAGTCGCCGGCCCTGCGTCTGCATGATCAGGTCCAGCAACTCCTCCGTCTGCGGCGACGGGAGGCGGGCTGCACACAGACATAGATCCCCCGTATAGCGTCAACAGACCGCTGGAGCCAGTGCTGTTAGCGAGCAGCACCTATGAAGGCCGGCATGGCGCTCGAGATTATTCACTCATTGCAACACAACGTGGTGAGGGATATATGCATCCGTGGATTGATATGGGGCTGTAAACTAAACTATTAATGAACGAAGGCCAGAATGAACACAACCAATCCAAGACAAGCAAACAGTGTGTAAAGACAGCGTCCTTGTCTCCTTACAGTTCCTGTTGGTTGACACCGTCAGTGAAGAGGCAGTGTCTCCCGGGGACAAGAAGGAGCAGCGTTGGTCGTCCATTCGGTCAGCCTGGGATCGACTCAGCTGCTCGAAAAATCCTTCGCTGTCCGACGACGGTTCAGGGCTGATCCTCTGCGCATGGATACACATGTGGATACACATCGGCACAAGCAGCTGTCAGAGACAATGCACCCCGAAACGATAATTCGGGAAAACATTCAACGTCCATAAACTCCACGTACAGAGCTGCAGAGAACCGGAGCCCTGATTTAAAACATGCCTCTATTTCCATTCATTCTGCTGTTGTCCATCACTTCTCGCATGTTTTTCACTGATTCTATGCCGATGTTATCTGCAATCAAAACCACACGTCCTATCAATGGATCGTTAACCATTTAAACAGCAAGAAACGCCCACTAAAGCGATATCGTAACCGCACATCCATCGAAAAATATATAAAACCTACCAATCTGTGCCACAAAAATAATACTTGTATTACTCCTGCACATTTTATGTTACTTTAAAATGATTTCAAGTTGACAGAAAACCTTAAATATGTGAGGCAACACGATATTCTACACGAGTTGAAAGTGTACGTATTTTTCAGCACACTTGTTTTTTTTAGTTGTAAGATTTTGTTGTTGTTGTTGTTGTAAGAAACAACGGCGAGAGCTGCAGCTTAAAAAATGCCGGTCACAATAACTTCCGTCGCTACGGCCTTGAAAGAATCAGGTTTTGTACAAACACAGAAAGGCCCTGCTTCGTCGCTCTCCTCAGGACGATAAGGTATCTATGCAGCAGTGGAAATTTCACTAAAGGTCAGAGTTCAGATAAAAACAATGCACCTCCGCTTTCCGCGCACAATCCAAGAGCCGGCATTTAAAGATCACAGCCCGGCCCTGAGGAGATAAAGGACACATCATGGCAATTCCAAAATCACAGGCCGTGTACGATATGCTGAAACTCGATTTTAATCTGAATTAATTTGAAGCCACTTGATCTAATACCGAGAACGTATAAAATGATCAATGTTAAAGAATTGCCAAACAAACTCTTTGAATTTCGATTTAAAGCTTTTGTGACTGCAGGGATTCATCTTGTTGGTTCTTTCAGTAAAGTCACGTAGAAGGGAAATAATAAAATAATAAAAATAAAACATAATAAAATAAAACCTAAAATACAATTTTATGTTTTATTTTTTTATCATTTTATTATTTCCCTTCTACGTGACTTTACCAAAAGAACCAAGAAGATAAAACTCTTTGAAGTACACGCAATAATTTCTACGCATTTCTTTTCACGTAACATTGCAATGAATTGACTTATCTGACAACTCGTCCCATTTTTTAAATTCACAATTAACTCACTACGCAATTGTGAGTAAAAATAACTATTTATTTAACACTTTCGAAATATATCTCCTTTCATTTTCACGTAACATTGCAATGAATTGACTTATCTGAGAACAACACGTCCCATTTTGAAAATTCACAATTAACTCACGACGCAATTGTGAGTAAAACAAAAAAACAAATGAACGCTTTCAAAATATATTTCCTTTCAACAGACGTATCCGTATACAACCATCCACCCTCGCAATACTTCCCATCCTCACGACTAAAACGACGCTTCTCGTGCGCACGAATCAACCGACGAATGAAATGCAGTGCTGCGTGTACAACACCACACGATCGGCACGGGAAGCCCTCCGCTTAAGACTCACGGCGTGCTGCATGCCCCGCCACTAAACTCGCTCGTCCCTTCCCCGCTCACATTCTCACTTCGCTCGGAGCGAGTGGCAGCGTCGCACTGCCGTTGTGATCCGCGGTGCCCGCGAAGGTGCGCACAACAACAAAAATATAAATATATATATATCCCACGAAGCATGCTGCGACGGCGTTCCCTCTTAGTATCAACACGGAGGAGCATTGGGGTTTGGGCGGGGGGGGGTGGTCAGGGCCGGATTAAGGCGTGGGGGGCTTTAGGGGCTGCAGCCCAGGAGCCTCGGCCAGTTGGAGTGCCTCCAGAGATTAAGTGAAAAGTTATTTCATTTGTGAATGCTGAATTTTATTTGTTGTTAGCTTTGTAAAAATAAATTGTATTTTTCTTTAACTTTGTTTTCCTTTTGAGTATATTAGTGGGGGCCCTCACAGTACCTGTAGCCCAGGGGCTTACAAAATCTTAATCCGGCCCTGTGGGTGGTGTGGGAAGCTGCGTGGCACCACCACCACAGGTGGGATCGCGAGCGAATCGTGACAATAAATGTAATTTCCCTTCCTGGCAACGGTTTACAAAGTGGCGCTGGTGAGTGTTGTTGTTGTTGTTGTTTGTTGTTGCCACTGCGGTACCGCTCGCTGGCGTAAACACAACATTATTATTTCTTGACTTAAAGCTTTCGTGACTGCAGGAATTCATATTCTTTGGCTCTTTCGGTAAAGTCACGTAGATAGGTTCAAAGAAAATAACAAACAAAAAACTACGACGTTTCGATCACAACACAAGCGATCGAAACGTCGTAGTTTTGTTGTTATTTCCTTTGAAATCTATCCACGTGACTTTACCGAAAGACCCAAAGAATATAACATTATTATTACAAGTCCCTGAAGCTGTGCTCACTCACACGCGGGACGCGAGGAAGGGCTTAAGCCTGGCAAAGAATAATAAAGTGAAACCGGCCCAAGCGAAATGTGTATTGGGTGCACATTTCATGTAATTATCGCACTTTATATCAGTGGCTCGAACCTGCCACCTTACTGCGCTTGGTATCGTTACGGTAATTCGCGTCACAAAAAAAACCGCAGTGGCGTTATCACATATTGGAACAAGGCCCTCAAAAGGGTGGGCTAGGCCAAATTAAGTGGATGCTCAAAGAGAATTTGCTTTTACAGTTGGTAGATTATCAAACGGTAACAATTGGAGTGTGAGATAATGGACTGAGACCATCAACTGTGTACACAGCCAGGAATTGAAACCCAGATCAAATCAGTTTAACACGTATGTTTTTGCTACCAATATTATCCGTAATAAAGGTTTTTTTTTGGGGTTAGAGCGCATAAATAAATATCTGTCGTTAAACCCGCCTGTGCCAGTAACGAATTAGCATGTTGTTCACGTTACGAACCTTACTAATTGGCTGTGCCGGGTGGCGGCAGGTTTAACGACACATTTACATGTTTACGCGATATAACCCCCCAAAAACTCTGTTACAGATGAAATCCAAGATCTCTTATCGTTCATGCCTCAGAACCCAGAGAGATCAATTGTAATGAAAATAACGCACTGTACATTGTTATCCAGAAAAGCCTCACCGAGTCATTCTCTACATACTTTGTTTAAGACTTTCCCGGCTTGGAATGTGTGAACGATTACTTTAAAGATTATTTTGTGTGTGGTAGGAAACCAATGCAGCCAGAAGAAACCCCACACGTAGAAGGAAATAATATCACGGAAAACACGCGCGCGCACACACACACACACGATGGATCCGAGCACTCTACTAACTAACCCCCTCCACCAAAAGCTGCGGGATGAGAGGGCATGCGCAAAGACGCCTAAATTAAAACGCACGAGGTGGCTGGAGTGGCTCACACATCAGACTGCTGAGCTGGCATCACCGTGTGCCTGGGTGTGAATCCAGGAGGCAGTCTAATGAGTAAACCTGGTTCACAATCGCATAAAAACACCCATAGCATTACATTTGGGTTTAAACTTAATTTGGCTAAATTCCAACGCTCATGCTTAAAAATATCAGTTTTGAATCCAGGAGGCAGCTCTAATGAGTAAACCTGGTTCTCAAGTGCATAAAAACACCCATAGCATTACATCTGGGTTTAAACTTAATTTGGCTAAATTCCAACGCTCATGCTTAAAAATATCAGTTTTACTGTCATGTGATGGACATTACTTGCAGTAGCAAAGTGTTTGGTAAAGTGCTGCTCCCCTACTATTGTGGTCCATGAAGGAATTTTCAGAGGTAGCCTCTCTCTTATCCGCTTCCGTGGGCAGTTCTCTAACAACGAGGGGGTTACACTGCCAAGTTGATACATTGTTTAGTGACCCGACGCCGGGTGCCAAATGGGGATAAAACTGCGCAGAAATAAACAGAACAAAAACGACACAAACGCAGCCGCGAGAGAGCAACAACTGCACCAGTCAATCGCGCGCGTTCTGGACTCACCATGTTGGGAAGTTGCACCGTGACATCGTCTGCATCAGCGGTGGCGGCGGCAACCGTGGATCTCTGCTCGGCGGTCGTGATGCCCTCACGGTACTTGCGGCCCTTGAGGCGCGACGGGAGGAAGGAGCAGCCGGAGAGTTGTTTGACGAGCGGTGGGCGGCCCTGGCCTGGACTCCGCGCCTCATCCCCACCGTTCTGGCTCTGGGAAGACAAAGTCGAAAAATAAACACAGGCGAAATCTCGCCTTACCTTTTGTGGAGATTTACACGGCGCCTTACAACAAAGGCGATTTACAGCAATTATATAAGTGTGCCATGAGGTGATAATGGTTGAGATAATAAAGACTGGGGTCGTTATTAAAAGTGGTCGTGTGGACAGGAGAAGAGGCAGGAGAGGTTAAGGAGAGGTTGGAGTAGGGGTAGTGATAGGGGTAGTAACAGGGGTGGGGGGAGTGATAGGGGTAGAGGTAGTGATAGGGATAGGGGTAGTGATAGGGTTGGTAATAGAGTTTGGGGTTGGGCTGGTTGTAGCCAGGGGAGGGGGCAGTGAGTAGCAGAAGCATGATGGGCTCGGGAAAAGACATGGGTTTTTAAGGGAGGAATGGAACAAGAGAGGGTTTTTATCCCTGAACGGTACCGCATATCACAATCCACTCGCACGTTCATAGGGAAAACTCCAATTCTCAGCTGTCTGATGTCTCAGCTGGCGATAAGTTCAGAACTGTGGAATGATGCACTTATGCCAAGTTTTGATGTAACGGAGCAATATCATGTTTTTTTACATTTACAGTGGAATAAGAAATACATGCTTATTTATTTTATGTTATTTTTCCTTTTGTTTGATTTGAGTTACAGCCACGCCACGGGACCACAGCGATAAGCCGAGCGCAAAGAGTGAGATTTGGAAGGGTGCACGCCAGAACCACCACAGCCCACACCTAACACAGCAAGGCACGGAGACTCAATGAGTCGAGATGTCCCCCAAACACTCCAGAGCTCGTGCAGAAAACCAAGAGGGAATACAGCATATATATTTTTCTCTACCCACTCCTTTTTAACAAAGTGTTCATGTTTTTCCATGATGTTATGCTGATTATACAATCAGCAAGACGAGGTATCGAGGTCACCTTCGTCCAGTGGTACGAATTCTAGAAAAGCAGTTACATCTTTCGTGTTGAAGAACAGCCCATTGAGCTGGACATGACAGAGCTGCCTCCGAGATCTCTTCAAGCGACCTATGGTCCACGCACAAGGGGCCAGCACTTTCCCACCCACTCTGCGCCAGGAGTAATATTTGACACGTGATCAATATTTGTATTTTTCAGAGCTGGAATTTAGTCAAATTCAGCACAGTACCAAATTTAATGTGATGGGTTGTTTAGTGCAATTATTGGTTACTGGCTTGAGACTATCAAGAAACACTACACTTGAGAATACAGTTTAAGCATAGGTGACTGCTTGGATTTTAACCCAGAATCTCAGTGGTGCTGGCTCAGCACTTTGACCTCTGAGCCGAATGGAAATATCTATCCACTAGATTTTTGTGGCAGGAAAAAAAACGGAACCACATAAAGCACTCGAATATACATTAAAAAACTAGAATCTATTTAAACTAAACGATTGTTTATTTATTCAGAACCGACCCGGCCACAAATGATAGCTCAACGAAGTGGTTTATTACGTGGAAATTTATAGAAGCCAAATACTCTAAATGCATTATTCGAAATGTGGAGGGAAAACCCGTAGGACGTGGAGAAAAATCCGAGCGACCACGGGGAGAACATGCAAACTCCAAACATACAATCGGGATCGAATCCACGACGTCCTGCATACCAAGCGAGGGAGATAACATTTCACCACCGCGGCTGACATGAGCATACATTATCTCGAGGGCTCACCTTGTCAATGGTGAGCTTCATTAGCTCCATGTTGTCCACGCTGTGCCTATGAATGATTCTCGGTCTCGCCCCTGGGCACAGATGACAACAGCGAGGAGAATCTGCTCAGTTTAAACATCGACTGCCGTAGTACACGCAACAGATGGGGTGATTTAAAAGATTGAGTCCATTGTCAATCCACTGCTGTATGAAGGCCTCCCCAAGCCGTGTCAGCTACGGGGGTTATTTGACCATATTTCACCACGCTGGTCAGTGCAGGTTGCTAAAAAGGGTGAGCAAAGACGTGGGAGCATAGAATTATAGTTCAACAATGGATTTTTGCCCAGTTTGCTTTGTTGACAATGCTATGTAGACATGCTAATATACTCTGCGCATGTTGTAAACTCTATAGACAAACGCCTTACATGTGACATGCAGCCTTACATGTGACATATTTGACATAGGAGCATAAACCATCACACGAACTCCGGTTATCCTCGTAGCGGCTTCTGGCTGGCCATTGAACAAAGACAGTTACCGCATTGCGCGCTTACAGGTGCACTTCTGCGGCCGTATGGAATGCTCTTCCGATATTAGGAAGACACTGGGGCTACGCACTTTTAAATCATCTCGATTGAAAACGAATTTCTTTAGAACTACTTTTTGTGTTTGTTTTCCTTCCCCTGCATCTCCGATCAGCACGGTTGGCTACGAACGGTGCGAAAGAAGTTCAGCATACATACATACACAGAAGCAGTAGGTGAATGTCTGTACGGTGACAATATACAGTGATATGATGACAGGTCTGCTTCCAGCGTTCGAACGCTTATGAAACTCGATGTTGTCCTGTTGCCATACCATTCTCCCTGATGTAGTATGTACCTGGCATCCGCTTCATAACAGACATGGTGTAAGTTATTCATGGCCTTACACCTAGCTAGCCATACACTCACAACGTTCAGACACGCCGGGCTCCATCTACCTCGGCACTACAAGCGCTCGCTCCGCTAAAAATAGGCAAACGTGAAAGCTCCGCGCGAGCGCATCGCCATCGACACTCACCGTGTCCGATTCGCGAGTCCCACTCCTCTCACGGCCACCAGCAGCGGGGAAGGAAAAGCCGGCCCGAGTTTCCGCTTCAATTCGCAGCAAAGTAAGCGCAATCTCACTCGCACGACCACCGCCAAGGGTTCACCCCAAGCGGCCGCGGGGTTTCGGCATCGTTTGCCTTGCGCTTGCCGGTGATCGAATAACTTGCAGCCAGTTTATCCAATTAAACACCGGCTGCTTAGCGAGGCCCCGTGGGAGGCTATTAATGGCTAATTGCCTCCTCCGTGTTTCGCTCGACAGTGGAGCGGAGCATCCCGAGGGAGACCCGAGGTGCCCGCACGGGACCCGCCTGCCTTCCACCGCCGCCGCTCGGCGTAAAAAGCCACCGATGTTTTTTTTATTCACGCCGCAGCCCCGGTAAACAACGGCAGGCGCAACAACAACAACAAAAACGGAGCAAAAAAAACCGTCAACGAAAAACATTGGAACGCCGGTAAAGCGTTGACAAATTACCGAAAGAACCAAAGAGGATGAAATTATAAGCACCTGCCTGAATTAACCGCACGAACGGGAAACAATATCTGCAAGGTGTTGCTGAGCAATGGACGTTAAGACACACTTGTTACACGTGAAAGGTAGAAGAGATTTCTCAAATGAAACACTTAAATTAATGAAACGCCTGTCAGCAGGGTGGTTATCAAAACTATACTATGAACCTGGTAACTTGAGTTTTTATTTGAAGTTGAGTTTGGTAACTTGAGTTTGATTCCCCGGTCAGGACTATCATCCGCGGCTCATGCTATCCTTTGGGGCTCCCCTTCACCAAGCCGCACTGAGCACTGACCTACAGTGAGGTTTTGTTCTTGCATTAGATTCACAATAAGCTGTACATTATGTATCCTTGTTATGAATAAAAACAACACCATTTCTGATCACGAACTTCATTAAAAATCTGCACGGTGCAGAGAACCCAATCTCCCTCCTCCTCTAACCTCAGGAGCACAGCGTTTGGGATTCATGTCCACGATTTGCGCTCTGTACTGAGGCTTCTACTGAAATATAATAAAATAAAAAGCTGCATGGGAAGAAGCGCAGTCGATAGAGTGGGCTGTGCGTGAGACGGTGGCTCAGCCACGCTTAGGATTAGCCCTGGTGCAGGCTATGACACCGCGGTCCCCCTGTCCAATTGCCCCTCTTCCTCTCCGTGGCGCAAATGCTCGGAGGGGGCTCTCCCCTCCAGCCCGTGATGCCCCTGTGCAGTTGCACTTCATTGCGCGCTCGTCGGCCGTGCCACGGGCTGCGAAACCGCGCGTGCCTCACCCTGCGTGGTGAACTCGTTCCGGCGGATGGGCAGCTCGTCGGGGCGCTTCGTGGCGTCGTCGTCGTTGTTGTTGTTGATTGCTAGAATGCCGTGCAGCTCGTCGAGGTTGGCCCGAGCGGTGGCCTCTCCGCTGCGGTCACCGATCTGCAAGGACGGTGTAGGGGGGTGGTGGTGGTGGTGGGTGCGACCGTCTGGAGCTTCCGTCAAAACGGAGCGGGAAGCGCCGCCTGCCACCGCCGCCGCCGTCGTGGGTTTTAATTTTACGGCTGGGCTGTGTGGGAGGGCATGGCTGAGGTGGGGGGTGGGTTAATGTTTACAGCAGTGGCGGACACACACGCGGTGTTTGTGTTTCCGTGTCACGCGGACTTGCATCGTTTTCGCCCTGCGAGACTGCGTATGGGGTTCACGAGGACGTATTCCTCGTTGCGATTCGTACTGGAACCGAAATATCACACACGGAGCCATGCCTTGATTTCACGGACTTGTTTTGATGGGGTATTTTTGTGTGCGTGTTTAGTTTGCTGTCCTTCTCCCGCACCTCCAATTAGCACGGTTGGCTACGAAGTGAGAAAGAAGTTCAACATACATACATATTAAACAAATTTTTAAAAGGAAATACACACGAATTACACACATACAGACCCATTATACTATTTGTTGTATATCATGAAAATCAAAATCCTATGCAAGTCAGTAGTTATTATTTCAATCACAAGATACATCCAACTGGTTAGTGCTTGGCGCCTGTGCGTGATCTACGATTGCATAAAGCGCCGCGCAAGCTGTGAAAGAATTGGACCATCAGGCGAGAGTTGTACGCCTTTTGGCGTCATGTGGTCGAGCACCAATTGGGTCAAGGCTCAAAAGAAAGCCGTCCCTTGGTGTGGACCAATCAGTTTCAAGGACAATGCATATATTATCATAGGATGTTTTTTGTTTGCATTTTGACTATAGGTATTGTGGTTAATGCAGACATGAATCCTTGTAAAAAGGTTTCAGCTTTGTTGCCAGAAAAAAGGGGAAAACCCTATTTTTACATTTTGGTACTGACAAAGGAGGTCTAATGATGTAGATGCTCACCCCGAGCCCTCATTACTTTGATAGTGGATTGTCTTCGAGCTGTACGCCTTTTGGCGTCATGTGGTCGAGCACCAATTGGGTCGAGGCTCAAAAGAAAGCCGTCCCTTGGTGTGGACCAATCAGTTTCAAGGACAATGCATATATTATCATAGTATGTTTTTTGTTTGCATTTTGACTGCAGGTATTGTGGTTAATGCAGACATGAATCCTTGTAAAAAGGTTTCAGTTTTGTTGCCAGAAAAAAGGAGAAAACCCCTATTATTACATTTTGGTACTAGCAAAGAGGTCTAATGATGTTAAAGAACCACTGCGCTACGCAAATGAAAAGACGGCACTCAAACTGCATGCAGGGAGCATGTGGGCTCATTCCCCTCCACTGCCCCCTATTATCTGGAACTTCCTTGCCCCAGCCATCTATGCAGTCCAACTGCCTACCACCTATGCAGGTCCAGACTCAAGCCCTTCCTTTAATCTTCTGCCTAGAACTGTCTCTTTCTCTCTCTCGATAAAACGTGCCCACTGTATCTGTCCAGCATCTTGAGATGCGTTTGTGACTCAGGACGCTGTATAACTCCACAATGTCACTGTGTTGTATGTCTGACACCTTCTCGCGCAGCACCGCATCCCGTAAGTAAGTGTTGAACTTCTTCTGCACCATACGTCGCCAACCGTGCTAATCCTATCGACACCACATTTTTTTTCCCAATGCAGGTCGGCGCCTCACGTATTGACTCAATTGTTATGCAACCAACACGTGCACTATTTATTTCTCCATTGCTGGTGATCTTAAAAATAAAGTCTGAATGTCATGATATCCACCCCCCCACCACCCCCCAATGATATGCACTTGCACTTATTGACATCATGTCATGGGACGAAGACATTTTCCATTTAAAAACTTTCGCAGAAAGCAGGAAAACAACTTCGAACTATTCTGGCAAACAGCCTCTGGAAGATAAATTAACATAACTACACCTACACCTTGTTTTATTACCAGGTAACGCCCACTGAGCCACGAATGATGGCTCAACGAAGTGGCTTATCGCGCGGAAATTTACAGCAGCCAAATACTCCAAACCGATGTTGTTTCTAAATGTGGAGGGAAAAACCGGAGGACCCGGAGAAAAATCCACACGACCACGGGGAGATAACACGCAAACTCCAAATATTCAGCAGGCGTCGGGGTCGGAATCGATTCCACGACCTCCTGTACACCAGGCGAGGTAGTTAACATATCCTAGCCACCGCGGCGCCCTGCTGCTGAGATGCCTTCATCTGCCTCTTATCCACAGCAGGTCGGTGGTTGTGATGCACCTCCTCACACGCCGTGCTGGAGAAGATTGTCGTCACAGGCGCGCGCCACTTTGACCAATCGTCAGCGTCTTGAGCACCTTGAGGTGTGGCCGCATTTCGGTAAAGGTCCTGCCCTCGAATTCCTCGCTCAGGTCGCTGCTGGCGGAAGGACCAAGAGAGAGGGGAGTTCTAGACTCTCGAGAGGCTATTTTGATCTCCTCGTCCAGGCTGGCCATGCGTCTTGACACAGGTGGGAGTACACACACTTTATCCCACTTATACTGCTGGATGGACAGAGGCGATGGCGGCGTGGTGGTGGTGCGCATTTAATAAACGTGCCTCATTGTTTCAACTGCTGCGCCGGGGAGATCTAAAATGCAACGGGCGACGCCAAATCTGGCGCTCTGACCATTAACACCCTGGACAGCTTCCAAACCTGCTCCCACATTCTGCGAACGCGAATAGCGAAGCGTACGCGAGGCGGCGTGCGGCCGTGCGCTGCGTGGCGCGACCCCCCACCTCCCGCGACAGCTCCAGGTGCTTGGTGACGAAGCGCACGGCTTCTCGGTTGCTCCCCAGGGCCGAGTGGGCATTGCCGAGGCTGAAGCACGCCCGCGCCTCGCCGACCCTGCCCGAAGATGGGCCGAGGCAAAATAGCAACAGCCACAACAACAGCCACAACAACAACAGCCACAACAACAACAACAACAGCCACAACAACAACAGCCAAACAAACGACGCTCTGACGTCGAGCTGGGACGATTATCGGTCGATTCGTTATAAATCCGTCGACGACTCTTGCCGACTTAACCCACGCTGGACATCTGCGAAAGAGAGACCCGTAGCTCCTCGGATTTGCTCCAAGTGAAGCGATCTGATTCTGACATTACGCAATAGAAGATACTTCTATTGTTTGGCAATGCAGCGGCACAAAGGCGGAAGCGCGCGCGTGCGTGCGCGTGTGTGAACGCACGTGCGCGCGCGTGTGTGTGAACGCACGTGTTTATCAGCTAATGGGGGACTCTCTCGTGAACACCTCTCGCTCCGCTGCCGCTCGACTACCCGCCAGCGAGCACGGGGGGATAATTGCCACCACTTCTCGTTCCGCTCGCCAAAGACAGCCGTCCAAGCCTGCCGCCGCAGCTTTAAAAATTAACCCTAAAAGCGGCTCGATTAAAAGCGTGAATTCACGACGCCTCGGAATCGGCAGCAACAAACCCAACATCCCCCCCCCCTCCCCTACGGTTTTCGATGTGCGTCAGTGTTCATAGAGTAAGGGGTTGCACACACACACGCGCGCGTGCGCCGGGGGGCTTGATTCGTCACTCGCTATTTTCTATTAAGCCGCTCAGGCACTACCACTAGAGTAGCAGGTATATTTATTGAAAACCCTATATTATTCATACCCTGCATTTCTGTAATCCTATGAACGACCAAAGGAGTTCCTTGACATGCAGCGTTCCGGACTGATGTGGCTGAAATCAAGCACTGGTTGCATATACACACGTACACAAACACACACACACACTGGCTGCTTCAAAAACATGTTAACACTTACATGGGACTATCGTTTTAAATGGAAAAAGAATGGATATTACACTGTAACATGATAACAAATGTAATGTTAATAGCTTCAAAACGTCAAAGAGTATCCCACGTGTTCGCCATCGTTGTCAACGCACGTGGCCTGGAAACTTCTCCAGGTGGTCTCCAGAGCCCGGAGGCAGCAGCACATGTCACGTGGTGTTGTTGCAAATTCTCAGAAGTGTTAAAAAAATAATTGAAGCACCCTGAACTGTGGATGCCTGTACTAGACTGCACACCATTCTCTCTATACGAATGCCAATTTAGGCAAAAGCTATGACCAAATCACACTGAAGGTGACCGAGTTCATCAGAAGCTCTTCAGGATTGAGAACGGATAGTGCTTTGACGGGTGACCACGTTGCATGCCCGCTTGCCAGGAGTGTCTGCAAGGCCATGTTACGTTGTAAAAACTGTGCTTCTATGCTCCCCCGCCTTCAACCAACCCGACCAGAGCGGTGAAGTATGGTCAAATAACCTCCTTGACCCGTGCAGCATGAGAACGCCAGCACCCAGCAGTAGATTAACAATACGGCAGTACATCTACTACGTACAGTACTATATACTGACTCGACTCAAGTGTATGCAATCCTGTATATGAATGCCTGTTTAAGCAATGGAAAATGTACTTAATACAGATCTGTGATACAAGGAGGTATCATGCACAACGCTCGCTCGCTCTCTATTTATGTTGACTATTTATAGAACATAATTTGACTGACATTGACTGTAATAAGGGTGCCCGCCCTATGTAGCCTGTGTGCGTGCGCAGTATCCGTGGCGTTCCTACGCAAAAAAAAAAACACCCGAGCGCGGCTTTTGGGCTCCACAGACGCTCTCTGTGAGAATGCCTTCGCCTTTTACAAATCACCTGTGGGGTGAGCGAGGGTAAGTTCACAGGCGTGAACATGGGAAACAACAGACTGTTGGGGAAAGTGCTGTGAACGTAGCACCAATGAAGGCCGGATGGCACGACACGCGGAGGGGGGGGGGGGGGGGTGAGTGGCCAGCACAAGGCCCGGCCGCCTTTGTCTCCCTAGTGACGATGTTTGAGGCTGAGCCGATCTAGGGGAGGCCAGGACCGGTCCAGATAATCGTCACTGGCATTGGAATCGAACTCGGGTGGCCGGGTTCTTGGCGCAGCGCAGCGCTCACCGCTACACCACCCGCTCCCACACACCAGCGCGCGCGTGCGCTAAGGGGCAATCCATTTAGTCCGGAGGCAAAAATCTGTCAAAACTTGACCCCTCCCCCCACTCCCTGTACGCACGCGGACTTTTTACCCCCCCCCACCCACCACCTGCGTACGTACAGCCTGACGCACCCCCACCCCCTCCCCCCAATCCTATAGAACGGCCGATATTTAATCCACGCAGAAACGATCAAGGATTAATAATATTAACGTGCTTAAGCAAATAGATAGTCCACCGCCGGACTAGCTAACTCATTTGAAGGCCAATGTAGACAAACTATTGTCGAGGCTTCACAACCCCCCGCCCACACCCCGTTTATTACGCGTACATTGTCAGTAGACCCCGCCATACGCAAGCGTACGCATTTGGGTTAACCCCCCCCATCTCCCCTCCATGCGTACGTACTGAATGGATGGCCCCTTACACACGAGCACTCTGCAGCTGCTAATGCACACCGCGACTTGCGAGATGCAACCCACTGTCGCGCAGGAGCCAACAGGTGGACGCGACGAAGAGATGGCGACAGCAACACTAAACCCCACCACCCCCAATACCAGCACGTGGCAATCTCCACACTAATGACAGGCCTGTGGCCAGCTAAGCAAGGAGCTGCTGTCCAACTCGCATTGTGGAAGCATTAATTAGAGGGTTGGTGGCGGGCAGCCTGGAGGGGTGGGAGAGAAATGTCAATTCTGGAAGGGGTCTGCTTTTGTCTCTTGCGCTTGCAGCCAACCACCGTAGCGCCGGCGTGCTCGCCGCGGCTGGCGAGATAAGCGAGCCGCTCGCTTGCCGACACCTCCGGTACCCTCTAAGGTCGCCGCAGCTCATTGCGCGCAGAGTGGCTGCTGCACGCCACAAATGAACGGCGGCAGTACGCTCGCCAATCTCGTCTGTGCGCGCGTAACGCCGTCGCGCGAACTCCGGTCATCATCCTCGCAGCGTCTTCTGGATGGATAGCCGTCGGACGCGGAGACGGCGGCGGTCACCGCGTCGCGCGCTTTCAGGAGCGCTCCCGCGGCCGTCTGGAACGCTCTGTTAAATCTTGGTTGAAAAGCTAATTTCTCAAGAACTGAAATTTTTTATGCTTGGTTCGTTGTCCTCCCCCGCCCCCACCGCCCACACCTCCGATCAGCACGGTTAACTACTACGTACGGCGCGAACGAAGTTCAACACACGCGCGTTCAAAGCGACGCAGACATTGGCGCTTTCGAGGCGGGCGAGCGCGCACACGCGGCCAACGCAATTCATCCACGGCCACTCAAGAGCGCCGTGCACATCCGCACGTGGCGAGTGCGCACGGCGCCTAACGCCAGGGTGCACGCCGGACGCAATAATAATTAGTCGACACGGAGCCCGGAGGCTGACTGCGAAGGTCCACCGATCGCGACCTCGGGAGCGAAACCGCGGCGCGGATCGCAGCGACGCACGCACTTTCGACTGCAAAGCCTTTCGCGAGCGAAGCCGAATGAATGGGCGGGGCGATTGACACGTGCGCGCATTGGCACGACGGCCCGGCCGGAGATGGAGCCCTGCACGGGGGGGGGGGGGGGGGGTGGGGAGCACCTGCCTGTCCTGCAGCTCCTGTGCGATGGCGAGGTGCTTGAGGTGGAAGTCGACTGCGCGGCAGTAGTCCTGCATGAGGGTGCAGGTGTTGCCCAGGCTGTAGCACGCCTGCGCCTCCACCGCCCGCTCACGCAGCTGTCGAGCCAGCTGCAGCGTCTTCCTGCGCGGAGGAAATGCGCGCGCACACCCACGCACGCGGACGCGTGAACACAACACACACACACATCCACCCACGCGCGCCCGCACGCACGCACGGGAGCGCTCGCTCAAGCGCGCACACAAGACACGCGGACACATGCACGCTCAATTGCACACGCAAGAGACACATGCACACACATGCACGCTCAAATGCACACGCAAGACGCACAGACACATTCACGCTCAATTGCACACGCAAGAGACACAGACACATGCACACACATGCACGCTCAAATGCACACGGAAGACACACAGACACATGCACGCTCAGATGCACACGCAATAGACACAGACACATGCACACACGCACGCACGCTCAAACGCACACGCAAGACACGCAGACACATGCACGCTTAAACGCACACGCAAAACACACAGACACATTCACACACGCACGCTCAAACGCACACGCACATTGACAAGCGCACGCTGACTAAAAACGTACATTCACTCACGCACGCATGCATGCACGGGGGCAGGTAAATGAGCAACAGTTCATGGGATCGGAGTTTGTTTCACGAGAAGAGCCAAGCACCTCTGGCAGCTGACATCAGGGCGGTATAAAGCCTGGAGCCTCCTTAAGCACTGCTGCTGGGGTTTTTTTTTGTCTCTCCTCCATTAATTCAAATGATGCCATTACGCTCCGCGGGAGGGCGCGGGTAAACCGATACCCGAGCGCGTTGCGATGCCATTCTTGCAAACGGTGGACGGGGTGGAGGGGGTGCGGATAATTATAGGACGCACACCTCGCATTATTAGCGCGATAATTATTGTCGCAGTTACCTACGATATTTATTTTTTCATGGATTAATATGAGCATTGTTGGGATTGGATTCGCTGCACAATTGTTCGAAGTGGATGTGTAAAAAATGCGTTTGTTTTGGTGCTGGCGCGACTCGGATCAATCCACAATATCAGAAACACGCACGACAGCATCTTAACAACAACAACAACAACAAAACGTGCATTGCTACGATTAATAAATGCAATGCAAATACACGTCAACGTAAGAAAAGGTGTAGCATGCAAACACATGTGGTGATTTTAGACATTTTCAAAGAATCGAAACGAAGGATCAAGCACACCAAAGTCTGAGTGTCGACGCCAACCAACTGCGACTCCACACATGACGTTCCGTACAATCGTATGCGTAATTCCATGGTAAAAAATAACCTAAAATAAAACTGAACAATTTATATTTTTTAAACTACATTTGTATAGTGTCAGGTAAGGCCCACTGAGCTATATAGCTCTTTTTCAGAGGCGACCTGGCCACAAATGATAGCTCAACGAAGTGGCTTATCACGTGGAAATGCAAATGCATGATGTTGAAAATCCACACGACCATGGGGAGAGAAACACGCAAACTCCAAATATGCAGGCATCATGGGTCGTGTTGGGATCAAAACCACGACCATCGAACCCACGACCTCCTATACACCAGGCGAGGTAGTTAACACTCGTCACTGAGAACAAAAGTAACTCAATGGATACCTTTGCAAAATTCAACAGCAATTAACAGCACTTGGACTCAGCAAGCATGGCTTAACGCCTTCTCTGCCGGGGCACTTTTGCAACTGCTCCTGGTCAGGAGACCGGTTGATGCCATCTCCTGGGAGTATACAAAGCCACTCAGAGCTAATAAAGGGTGGGCGAGCTTTCCATATGCAGGGACTCCTCTACTTACGAACGTTCGACTTACGTACTTTCAGAGATACGAACAAACCTGTCCATATGTCCAGTTGCCTGTTCGGACCGAGAGTCGTAAGTTCACCCGCCGCGCAATACACGGCGGTGGTGGCATCTACATCTGCAGAACGTGAAGAACCAGTAGCATCTACATCTTACAGGAGATTATACAACTTCTAGGGCCATTCCCCCGTGTTTAGCGTGCACGCTGTAGACCACGTTTGCAGTCGACTGGAGCGAAGTTGGGACTTATGAACAAGTAGACTTGCGAACAGACATCTGGAACCTAACTCGTTCGTCAGCGGAGGAGTCCCTGTATATAGAGAGCGCGAGCGCGCGACGCGCCTACTTGTAAAACTCCGCGGCCGACTCGAACTGGCCGAGGAAGATGTGCGCATTTCCCAGGTTGCTGTACGCACGCCTCTCCGCCCCCTTGTCTCCAAACTCCCGTGCGATAGCCAGCCGCTGCAAAAGTAAATCACAAATGAATAATAACGCGATGTAACACGATTTTTGTTCTTGGGTACTAAGTGTTATTTATGCCTAAAAAAGTATAGAAGATCGGGCTATTATTCCCCACAAACTTTACTTTTGTGATCAGGAATTCAAGTGAACAAAAGACACAAATGCACACGTTTGATCATTTAAAATAGGTAAATTTCAAAATATAATTGTCCTGATTTAAAGCTTTTGTGACTGCAGGGATTCATCTTCTGGGTTCTTTTGGTAAAGTCACATAGAATGGGAATAAAATGATAAAAATAATAATAACAATAAAATTCTCACGACGTTTCAGCCACAACACAAGTAGCCTTCCTCAGGTGAAGAAACAGGACTGTCCGAAAGACAGCGCTTGAGTGAACACTGCCAAGCATGGACAGCATTTTTTAAGCTGTGTGGGAGGAACAGAGCGCCTTGACAAAGGAGTTAACATATAAATTAGCATGTGACTGGGAGATTAGCATGATGTTGGTGTGAGGGATTAGCACCACGGAGAGCGACGAGCTATGTTCAGACGGACGAGGGGAGGGGGGAGAGGAGTTTACATATAAATTAGCATGTAACTGGGGGACTAGCATAATGTTGGTGTGAGGGATTAGCAGCAGTTTACATATCAACAGTAAATTAGCATGTAACTGGGGGATTAGCATGATGTTAGTATGAGGGATTAACACCACGGAGAACGACAAGCTTGTGTTCAGACGGACGAGTCCATCTATGTTCGGAACGAAGGAGGGGGGGGGGGAAGAAGAGGAAGCAGCCACGGTGCGCTGCTCTGTCCTGTGTTGCGTTATAACTGTGCTATAAACTGGACTACTATACAACACAATATTATACCTTCCAATCTAAACTACATTGGATAATATCGTATCCATAGACAAATCCCACCCTTGAATTATACAATGCGTTACTATACACTATCCTATACTTTAGACCAGGGGTCACCAAACTACGGTCCGCGGGCCGCATCCGGCCCGCGACGTCAGTCCATCAGGCCCGCCGACGATACTTGAATTTGGTTGATAAAACGTATGGAATACGAGACGTTGTGATACAATTTAAATTTAAATATTATGTTTAGAATACTAGGAGATCTTCACGCATGCGGAGACCTCCTGACTGCTATGTTCCTTAAATTTACTATTTTAAATTATTGTATCTAGATGTTCTTGTTTATTGTAATGTTTGCTTATTTCGCACCATCCCAAGTACTTCCTCGGCTCGTGGTAGCTCCGCCTACGCTCTGACGTTACCATGGTTTCCATGGCAACGTCATGGCAACACGTTACCATGGTTTCCATGGCAACACACACAAACACGCTTCCTTCCCGCCCCCAGATTTTCCAGCTGTCAACACAGGTCCGACGCTCCAGAAATATGTATTCCTTATGCGGCCCGCGCTCGTCATTCTTTCAGTTATCCGGCCCACTGTGAAAAAAGTTTGGTGACCCCTGCTTTAGACTATAAAATATTAGACTTGTAGTATTACACTATGTATTATTCTATTAACCCTACTGTATACCACACTGCTGTATATTCACTATACAATTACGGTACTATATATTGCCTTATGAATGATGTTAAACATTACACTTTTATGCTGTTTATTATTATACAAATGCTATAAACTATACTATTGACCGTCGTGTGATAGGTACTAATCGGCATTGCCAGCGAATGGACTGCGGTCTGAAAGCCACCGTAAAATACAATCAATCAAGAAGCGAAATGGTTTATAACGTCTTTCCAATGGTTACTAAGCCAGAATCCATCTTCTCGGTTGAAATTGTCTCTGTGTTTGTATATGTGGATAGCCTCATGAACGAATCTCTCATGGTAGCCGGATGGCTTGCAGAGAAACTCCCTCTTGGAGAAGTCAATGTCATGTTGGCCCTCTGAATTATAACAGTGATCTGCCACGGCTGAAGTGTTTGTCCTACCGTGTTTCAAGTCTGCTTTATGTTCACGGATGCGGTCTGAGATATGTTGTTTGGTTTCTCCAATGTAGCTGCTACCACAGAGGCAACTTAGTTTGTAGACGCCCGGGTACTGTATGTCTGGAACCACATCTTTTACAGACGGAACCAGATCACGGATTTTTTGTACTGTGTTGAATCGGACCTGGATCTTGTGTTTCTTCAGGATTTTGGAGATATTTTTTGTGACCCCCGCAATGTAGGGTAAGGTGATGGTTTTGAATGGCTCCTCGAGAGGATCCTTCTTCATGGTTGGAGTGATGGCTTTGCGGATTGTGTAGTCGGAGTAACCGTTAGCTTTTAGAGCTTGGTGTACGTGCTTGAGTTCACTAGCAATGTGTTCCTGGTCGGAAATGCACTGGGCTCTATGGTATAGAGTCTTGATGAGGGAATTCTTCTGGGATGGATGGTGGTGGGAATCCGGTTTTAAGTAAGCATCCGTATGGGTAGCTTTCCTGTAGACAGAGTGGCTCATTGAACCATCAGGTTTCCTTTTAATTAGGGCATCCTAAAAGGGTAGCTTGCCATCTTTTTCGACTTCCATGGTAAATCTTATGGCTAGGTGTATGGAATTGATGTGGTCGAGGAATTGGTCTCGAGCAGGCCGGCCATGTGGCCAGATGACAAAAGTGTCATCCACGTACCTCTTCCATAAGGTCGGGCCTAGAGTGGCAGTCTGGATGGCCTCAGTCTCAAAATGTTCCATGAAAACGTTGGCTACAACCGGCGATAGGGGGGAGCCCATTGGGGTGCCCTCAGTATGTTTGTAGAAAGTTCCATTCCAGGTGACGTATGTGTTGGTTAAGCAGTGTCTCACCAGGGGGGGGGGGTACATCAGTATGCAGTCCTTGATGAACCAAGTCTTCAATGATTGCGATAGTGTCAGGTACAAAAACTTTGGTGAATAGGGAAACCACATCAAAACTGACAAGCAGGTCGTCTGGGGACAGGGCAATACCCTTGAATGTCGAAACCAGGTTAGTAGAGTTCAGAACCGCAGAGGTGGTTTTTCCAGTAAAATTCCTCGACCACATCAATTCCATACACCTAGCCATAAGATTTACCATGGAAGTCGAAAAAGATGGCAAGCTACCCTTTTAGGATGTCCTAATTAAAAGGAAACCTGATGGTTCAATGAACCACTGTGTCTACAGGAAAGCTACCCATACGGATGCTTACTTAAAACCGGATTCCCACCACCATCCACCCCAGAAGAATTCCCTCATCAAGACTCTATACCATAGAGCCCAGTGCATTTCCGACCAGGAACACATTGCTAGTGAACTCAAGCACGTACACCACGCTCTCAAGGCTAACGGTTACTCCGACTACATAATCCGCAAAGCCATCACTCCAACCATGAAGAAGGATCCTCTTGAGGAGCCATTCAAAACCATCACCTTACCCTACATTGCGGGGGTCACAAAAAAGATCTCCAAAATCCTGAATAAACACAAGATCCAAATCCGATTCAACACAGTACATAAAATCCGTGATCTGGTTCCGTCTGTAAAAGATGTGGTTCCAGACATACAGTACCCGGGCGTCTACAAACTAAGTTGCCTCTGTGGTAGCAGCTACATTAGAGAAACCAAACGACATATCTCAGACTGCATCCATGAACATAAAGCAGACTTGAAACACGGTAGGACGAACACCTCAGCCGTGGCAGATCACTGTTATAATTCAGTGAGCCAACATGACATTGACTTCTCCAAGATGGAGGTTCTCTGCAAGCCATCCGGCTACCATGAGAGATTCGTTCATGAGGCTATCCACATATACAAACACAGAGACAATTTCAACCGAGAAGATGGATTCTGGCTTAGTAACCATTGGAAAGACGTTATAATAGAATAATACATAGTGTAATACTACAAGTCTAATATTTTATAGTCTACAGTATAGGGCAGTGTATAGTAACGCATTGTATAATTCAAGGGTGGGATTTGTCTATGGATACGATATTATACAATGTAGTTTAGATTGGAAGGCATAATATTGTATTTTATAGTAGTACAGTTTATAGCATAGTTATAACGCAACACAGGACAGAGCAGCGCACCGTGGCTGTTTCCTCCTCTTCCCCTCCCTCCTACTCCGTTCCGAACATAGATGGACTCGTCCGTCTGAACACAAGCTTGTCGTTCTCCGTGGTGTTAATCCCTCATACTAACATCATGCTAATCCCCCAGTTACATGCTAATTTACTGTTGATATGTAAACTGCTGCTAATCCCTCACACCAACATTATGCTAGTCCCCCAGTTACATGCTAATTTATATGTAAACTCCTCTCCCCCCTCCCCTCGTCCGTCTGAACATAGCTCGTCGCTCTCCGTGGTGCTAATCCCTCACACCAACATCATGCTAATCTCCCAGTTACATGCTAATTTATATGTTAACTCCTTTGTCAAGGCGCTCTGTTCCTCCCACACAGCTTAAAAGACGCTGTCCATGCTTGGCAGTATTCACTCAAGCGCTGTCTTCCGGACAGTCCTGTTTCTTCACCTGAGGAAGGCTACTTGTGTTGTGGCCGAAACGTCGTGAGAATTTTATTGTTATTATTATTTTTATCATTTTATTCCCATTCTACGTGACTTTACCGAAAGAACCCAGAAGATAATTGTCCTGGTCACAAAAGCTAATTTTGTGGGGAATGGCCACTTTCTGTACTTTCTGTACTTTTGCGGAATAAGCAATTAGGAAATAACACTTACTACCCAGGGATCAAATGTTTTGTTACACAGTGTAATAATAATGAGACTTTGTTTTAAGTCGTGCCGTTGTTTTCACCCACTCAGTCGTTGTTCAATGTGCTACAAGTGGCACGTACTTTGGGGGGATCGCACCTCGGCTCGATCGTGCACGGCGTGGTTGGCAAAGGCCCTTGGGTGCAAGGATGAGATGGGGGCCCCTCTATAAATCCTCCCTCCCTCTTCATACCCCCTGCGGACCTCAATGCAGATGCACCTCCGACACACTCGATAGCTACTCCGCTGTTTAAAAAGCAACCCTCTGCATGCGGAGGGTAAAAACCGTAGGACCTGGAGAAAAATCCACGCGACCGTGGAGAGAACATGCAAACTCAATATACACAGCAGGCGTCATGGTCGGGATCGAACCCACGGCCTCCTGCATACCAGGCGGAGCCATTCATGTCATCTCAGCGCCATAGCTCTTGAGAGTGCACATCCTGCACGCTCGATAGCTGCGACACCAGAGCCATGCTCCCATCTCGTCTTCGAGTACATACTCTCGAACCTCCTCCTCATCTTCCTCCCGGGGGTTTTGGAGAAGGGCTGAGGCCGTGCCGCTTGGGTTCCTCGCATCGGTTGGAGCTGCAGGGGGCAGCCACTGTTGAGCTGGAGGGTTGCGTTCTCACCTCCTGGTGGCAGGCCACGGCTTGGCTGAAGCAGCCCAGGAGGTAATAGGTGTTGCCCAGGTTACCGAAGGCTCGGCCCTGAGCCGCCCGGTCTCCGAGCTCCCGCACCAGTGCCAGGTTGGCTCTGGGAGACAAACGGCGAGCGGTCGGCTTGGGTGCGGTGTGTGTGCGTGCACGCGCGTTGGTGGACTTCTTTCGCACCGTACGTAGCCAACCGTGCCGATCGGAGGCGCATTGCCACCAAACCCAACTTCATCCAACTTTACCGCCACTCACATTCGCATTCGTCTTCTGCTATTGTAGTGGAAATGGCAGCGTTCTAGATTTGAAGTTTTCGTGACTGCAAGGATCCATATTCTTTGGTTCTTTCGGTAAAGTCACGTAGGTGAAAAAATAAAATAAATAAAATCACGACGTTTCGATTGCAACACAAGCAATCATCATCAAGTGAAAATTTGGACTGAAGTAAAAACATTTTTTAAATACATTTTTTAGTGAAGTTACATTTTTTTTTACTGAAGTAATAAAATTATTGCTGTGGTTGTCACACCTGATGATGATTGCTTGTGTTGCAATCGAAACATCGTGATTTAATTTATTGTATTTTTTCACCTACGTGACTTTACCGAAAGAACCAAAGAATATGTAAATGGCAGTGTTTAAACGGGGTAGATCGAGCTTTCGGTATCCGCCGCTCACATGCACAGACACGTGGAGCGCTTGTTGTCAATCCACTGCTGAATGAGCACCACCAACCCCTGACCCATCGCCCCCCCCCCCCCCCGTGCCATATTTCACCACGTTGGTCAGCGCGAGTTGACGAAGGTGGGGAGCATACGTATGCGTGCATGTACGTCGAACTTCTTTCTCACCGCACGAAGCCAACCGTGCTAATCGGAGGATAGGTGTGGCAGCATAGAAGTACAGTTTAGCACAACAGCGGATGTTTTTTTCCACTGCCCTCTGCTGCCCACCGCATAGTCCCGAAGCCTATGGCAATGTCTTGTGAACGGTAGTCGCCCATACAAGAATATTTTCAGGTTCAAAACTGCTTAGCTTCCAAGATTTGACGAGATGGGCAGCATTCCATGCGAGTTGGTCAAAGGCGATATGAATAAATATCGCCTTGTGAACATTAAACACGAAACGCACTCGCTGTCCCTTCACAGCCCAGTGGGTTTAGGAGTGTCTGGGCTCATGGTGAAGTCTGATTTACCCACTAAATACGCATATAATGTACTTCCAATATGCTGGAGTAACGTGCATGTGTGACCACAACAATTCATGCGGGAAACGTACATGATCAGTAACATGCTTAACAACTTTTTTTCGTTCAGTATGTCTTTCATTCGGCTAATAACTCGAGAACCAAAAGCGATACAAGAATGAGCAACGCACCACAAATATGCACTCCGATACGATTTCCCCTCTCTAACTTGGATATCCACTTTTGAGAGTAACGTGACCCTGTGATCTGTAGAGACGGGCACCTTCTTTCCCACCCCACCTTGCCATTGGGGGCGCCATGATGGCTAGGAGATGTTAACTACCTCGCCTGGTATGCAGGAGGTCGTGTGTTCGATCCCGACCCTGATGCCTGCTGCTGCATATTTGGAGTTTGCGTGTCTCTCTCTCTCATCATTATCACGGTGGCTAGGAGATGTTAACTACCTCGCCTGGTATGCAGGAGGTCGTGTGTTCGATCCCGACCCTGATGCCTGCTGCTGCATATTTGGAGTTTGCGTGTCTCTCTCTCTCATCATAATCACGGTGGCTAGGAGATGTTAACTACCTCGCCTGGTATGCAGGAGGTCGTGTGTTCGATCCCGACCCTGATGCCTGCTGCTGCATATTTGGAGTTTGCGTGTCTCTCTCTCATCATAATCACGGTGGCTAGGAGATGTTAACTACCTCGCCTGGTATGCAGGAGGTCGTGTGTTCGATCCCGACCCTGATGCCTGCTGCTGCATATTTTGTGTTTGCGTGTTCTCCCCCTTGGTCACGTGGATTTTTCTACAAGTCCTCCGGGGTTTCCCTCCAAAATTTAGAAACGTGCGTTCAGACTATTTGGCTACAATACATTTGAACGTGATAAGCCACTTCTTTGAGCTATCATTTATGGCCACATCGCTTCTGAAAAAGAGCCGTATAGCTCAGTGGGCCTTACCTGGTCAAAAAAAAAAAACATATTAGATTTTGCCATTAAGGCATTCCTGTGTTTTCTGAATACCGTTCGTCGTCACGAGGTATCACTCGGGGCACCAGTGGGTCTCACTTCCAAATTGATGGTGCGGGTGGTGGTGGTGGTGGGGGGGGAAGGCGGAACGTCATTCCACGTTTAACTCAAGAGACTAGGGTAGCGGCATTACGACGGGTCCCAGTGGACGCCTCGCCAGAGCGAGGTTAAAGTGAAGCAACCACGGCAGACATTGAGACGTGAGGGACGGTGATGACGTGAGGAGGACTTTCAGCCAGCAGTGGATAGACACAGGCCGATCGTCACGATGCTAATACGCGTCGGGCGGTGGCATTTCTGGGTTTGCCAGAGTGACCGTTTTGTCTCGTCCCCTACCGCACTTAACCCCCACACTTGCAGGTGAAACCCACTTCCCTTTCTGCTCCATCATCTCACGGCACCACTTTGGAATTCCCTCCCCGTCGTTTCTTTTCCCCAAAGTTCTCATAATAACCTGCGCTCAAAATTTTTAAGAAACTTACCAAAACACTTATCTACAGCATTACATCTTCGGCAGTGCTGTTAACCTGCACACCGCTTGGTAATTTTTGAGGCATTGGCCCCTTGCTCAGCAACCGAGATTTTTTTTTAAACATATAAATTAAATGAAAACAAGTAGAAATTATCGGCGTACTGGTAGTGGTTGACTGCTTGCTCCAGGCAGAACTTGGCTTCAGGGCCCAGCTCCCCGGGGTCTTGGCTCGCCGAGCAGCCCAGGCTCTTGCCCTGTGCATGGTATACGCTGCCCAGGAGGTACAGGGCCCTCGCTTCGCCAGCCTGGCCCACAGAGTGACACGCACATCAATTATTATTTGATGATGATGAGAATAATAATGATTTGGTTTTGATACATGACCATCCTTTATGATGGTGGCGTATCAGAGAGCTTTGTACGTGAGAGGCAACTTCAGAATCAGAATCTTTATTTACACTGGAGGAATCTGATGAGCTCCAAAAACGTACCAACACATCCGTCAATAACACCGTCCCAAAGACAAAATAATGTATAAAAGGAGACGTTTTGGGCAATGAGCTGGACTCCCATGGTAAACTTGACCCCCATGGTAAACTGGACTCCCATGGTAAACTGGACTCCCATGGTAAACTGGACTTCCATGGTAAACTGGACTCCCATGGTAAACTGGACTCCCATGGTAAACTGGACTCCCATGGTAAACTGGACTCCCATGGTTGGGGGATCAGCAATACAAAATTCGGTGAAAACTCGATATTTCAAGAGTACGTGACTACGAGACGGCGGTCCTTAAAACATAAATAAACATCACGAAGCAGTCCTTAAAGAGCCGCGTGCGGAACCCCTTCACTGCCTCTCCTCCAGTGGGCATTGACTCTTAAGAGCATTCATTCGGACATTTAGCCATTCCCCCCTTCCCCCTCCTGTTTTCCTCCTACAGAGGTATCAGAGCTTTAGAAGACACCAGAGTTTTAGAGTTTATTGAAACAGTTCATTGAAACATGCGGTTTAGAGAGGTTTTCATTGCACTGTCATCCGTAACGCGTTTGTGCTGATGTCAAGCCCCTTTCATATGCTCTGTGTGTGTGTGTGTGTAACCTGAATCGTCTTGTTAATAACAAAAAAAAATATTTTTTCAAGAACATTTTTAAAAAGCATGCAGCCCCATTGCGTCTCCGAAGCCTGCAGGTTGCCGAACCGCCTGGACCGAGCGAAGGGCACGCGGGAGGCGAGACGCGGCCACCTACCTGGTCGCCAATCTCCCGCGATACGTCCAGGTGATGCTGGCAGCACACGATGGCCTCCTCGAAGCGCCCGAGGAATTTGAGCGGGTTTCCCAGATTGCCGCTCGCCTTGGCCTCTGCGGCGCGGTCGCCGATCTTCCTGGAGGCCGGAGCGACGGGAAGGGGGTGGGGGGGGGGGGAAGACGCCGACGTTCGTTTTGGCGCACACGGCCGCATGGCCGGTCGATTCACTGACGTCATCGCCGTCGTCATCATCGCCGTCATCGTCATCATGGTCGTCGTCATCAACATCGTGGTCGTCGTCGTCGTCGTCATTGTCGTCGTTGTCATCGTCGTCGTTGTCATCGTCGTCGTCATCATCGTCATCATCGTCGTCATCATCGTCATCGTCGTTGTCGTCATCGTCGTCATTGTCGTCATCGTCGTCGTCAGTGGTAAATGCGAGACCAATGGGGGGGGGGGGTCCAACTCTTCAATTTCTGAAATCCTCAATGAGGTGCCAGTGGTGAGGTTGGCTGACTCATCGGTGGGCGGAGGTGGTGAGAGGGCCTTTGGAAGTTGGTCAAGATGCAAGATCAGAATCAGAATTGTTTTTGTTTATATACTAGATGAATCCGATGAGCTATAAAGCTCTTGTTTTACAGATGTCCAGTCGGGGCGGGTAAGAACGTTATAACAACAAACAATACAAAGAACAAGAAAGGTCAACAAATCACACAAACACAAACAAATACAACACTAAACCATCCCCATCATAACAGACAAAGCCCACTGAGGTATTAACTTATTTTTCAAAAGCCACCTGGCCACAAGTGATAGCTCAACGAAGTGGCCTATCATGCAAGGTGTGGGCCAGGGGAGGCGTGGATGAGGCATGGCTCAGTGATGTCAAATAGGGAAACAATCGCAGCGCCTTGTGGAGGCCCTGTAGCTGAGAGGATAGGACACGAGGCAACATCAGTGCGTGAGGCCAATGAATTGCATTTGAATGCCCTTCTCAGACGACGTGATGCTCGCGAAAAGTGCACGTGTCACAAGTGCCCTTTGCAGACTACCCGGGGACCTTTGTCTTTGTGTGTACGTGCGTGTACGTGAACACGGCGGCCGGAATTCAATTATAGGTGCATGGCTCACATCGGTGGAGAACATATGCATCGGTCATAGGCCTCCCATAGGTTTACTTAGCCTTAAATGAGTACTTGGTGCGCTGTGTAAACACCAACACTTGGCAGACAAAGGAGGCCAGGCGTGGTGGTTTTGTCCACCGACCCCCCTCTCGTGTGCCAGACTGGCCTTAAAAGGTGCCACTCGCGGACAACACTTGGCTCGAAGGCTATTCGGTGGATCTTTGTCAGTGTTTTTGTGGACGTGCACGGTGGGAGAGCACAGGCGGTGCATCTGTCAATCATCTGAGTCAGTCAACCCCGAACAAGCACCCGTGTCTGTCCCGTGACCCCCTGACCTCCTGTCAGCAGCAAAACCTTCGACCACTCCACGCGAGCGACGGCCTCAACGCCGCACCTAGCCTGGCACGAGCGCCACGGTGACGTCGCCGCCCCTTTCGAGCAAAGCACCGGGCAGATTCCAGCTTGTTCAGAATGCAGCTGCACTTCCAGGTCTAGGCTGCGCTCTTTTGGTGACCGGGCTTTTGCTGGCGAGGCACCCAAACTATGGACCGCCTTGCCACTTGAAATCAGGCAATGGGAGTCGGTAGAAATATTGAAGTCTGTTTTGAAATCCCATCTTTTTAAACCGAGCCTTCCCTCTTGAGTTTGGCCGGTTGCCCCCGGTTCTGTTTTTGTTTCCTGCTCTATACGCATTGCGCACTGGGGATCCCAGGATGGAATGCCTCATTATACATTTGAATTATAACTACTTCGCTGGCGAACGGCGTTCGACAAATTGTACAACCGTCGTTGCTATAGGTCTGGAGGGGCTGAAGGGGTGGGTAGGTGGGGGGGGGTGTGGCAGAGGCAGAGCAGCGCCGCGCTCGCACCGCGCCAGCGTGAGGTCCAGCCCATGGTACTCGAGAGCACGGCCGTGCTCGCCGAGGCACACGTAGGCGTTGCCCAGCTGGCTGTAGATGGCGCTCAGCGTGCGCGCGTCCTCGGTGCCGACGCGCACCGCCGCCTCGAAGAAGGAGGCGCCGGAGCGCGCCTCGCCCGCCCGGCACAGGCGCTCGCCCTCCAGCGCCAGCTCCAGGCACGACGCCTCCATCCTGGGTGGGGGTGGGGGAGGTGGGCAACGCGCGCACGCGCACCTCCGATTAGCACGGGTGGCGACGTACGGTGCGAAAGAAGTTGTGTGCGCACGGGCAGAAGCGCACAGTGACGAAGACAAATTCCCCACCACCAACAACCCACCACCTCGCAGCAACAGCAGCAGCGACTTCCAGCGAAGCCATCGAACAAAGACGACCGCCGCTTCGCGCGCGCTTTGAGATGCGCTTCTGCGGCCGTCTGGAACGCTCTTCCTTGCGATATTAGGAAGCCACTGTAGTTATGCATATTTAAATCTGCTTTTTGGTGTTTAATTTGTTGCCCTTTCCCGCACCTCCGATTAGCGCGGTTGGCTACGCGCGGTGCCAAAGAAGTTCAACGTACATTAACAGACTGTTGGGACAAGTGCTGTTAGCGGAGCGACGCTATGAAGGCCGGCACAGCATACACGAGATATTGGGTGGCCAGCACCATGTCCGGCCGTCATTATCTCCACAGTGACGATGTTTTATTTCACACCGCACCGGGTCCCCATTTAAGGCTAAGTCGAACTAGAGGAAGCCCAGAACTGCTACAGATAGATATTCGTCACCGATGTTGGCTGTGAGTGGGAATCAAACTCGCGTCGCCGGATTCGTAGCACAGTGCGCTGACCACTGCACAATCGCTATTCAACATCTGTTAAAAATAGCTTTATAGCTCATCGGATTCCTTGCCACTTTAAACAATTATTATGGTGCAGATCGCTTCCGCCCCAACAACCCCCCCCCCCCCAAAATAAAAACCCACCGCAGAATCACACACACACAATGGAGGAGCCAGGATTTTCAGGGAGGGGGGCAACCCCTACAGCAATGAAAAATAATAGAGTTGTTACTAAGTAAAGACGTGTTCCTTGCATTTGATTCGACCCTCAATCGATTGAGGGTCAATCGATGGCACAGCCATGGCACAGCCATCGATTGAGGGTCAATCGATGGCACAGTCATGGCACAGTCATGGATTGAGGGTCGAATTCGAACCGCGTTGTGTGATCGGCATCGGGCTCGCTGAAGGTGAATGCCTTCAGGGAAGTCGTGTGCTGTATACGCAACTGCGCACAATTCTGTGAGTCACTTATGAAACCGCTTTGCCGTTACAGTACTTATTGCCAATTATGGACTCAGACTATTGTCCTATCTCATATAGTCCCTGGCACGTAATAATATTGATTTGAAGCTTTCGTGACTGCAGGAATCCATACTCTTTGGTTCTTTCGGTAAAGAGTACGTAATAATATGCTACACAGTGGCAGTGGGGGTCGCAAAATGCCGATTTATTACTTATAAACCCCGATGATCCCATCGAAATTAGGGATTTCGATCGGATCATGGGGGGGGTGGGGGGGGGGCACGTGCCACCCCACCCCCACTGGCTCTGCCAGTGCACACACACACACGGGCACACAGGGGAGATGCAGATAGCCTTGTTCAGACTTTCCCTCTTGATCCCACTGTGTGCGGCAAATCCTCCCCCCCACGTTCGCCAAATCGTCCGGCGGCATCTTTCTTGATTCTGCTTTTGGCGTCTTTCTCAAGCAACCCGTTCCAGAACTTCCTTCAGTAAGCTCTCGCCTCTGAGAATGTGTCGGTGGCCACATGTTTTCTAGATTGTTGTAATGACATTTCTCTCCTTTTCAATACTGAAGCGACACCCTAGAAATAACACATCCACCAGCTGAGTATTAGAGTGAAACTCCTCTTATTCGCGTGAATATGGGGAGCGGGAACGCTCTCGGCAGATCCTATTATCTGTGAAAATAGCTCCCACTATCCGCATTGGTTCTCTATGAGATACGCGGTGAATTTTCCACCACTTTTGGATGGCTCCTCTTATCGATAAAGACACATATAATCGGAATAATTTAAGTGCACCAAGAGACCGCTTTCGGATTACTTATCTCTGATATTCCTAGATAAGATAGTTGCCGCCACCTCTAGGTAATCACTATAATATGCAAAAGTTGTGGATAACAGGAGAAATCCAGCGGAAGATAATATATATTTTTTGTTTGTTTTTAAATAGATTGGGGCCATAGATTATATCCGTCACGGGTAATGGAGCCACAGCAAAGTCCCATGACATGCAATGTGAGAATATATATTTTTGTCGCCTTAGGCAGTGCCCAACTGCCCTCATCATGGATCAGAGAGGGCTTGTCCACGTGAAACCAAGGCAGGAGCATTAGGCGCTGATGACTTGAGTGCGCTGGTAATTCTATTCTTGTGTGTGCTGATATGTTCGAAAGCTAAATGTCAATGTCGAGGTCTGCTAGCCACGAGAGGGCTTCGGGAGATCGTGTAGTTTTACTATTCCTTCTCCGTTGAAGGAGCGCAGACGAAACTGGTTTACTGTATGATCTATAGTTTGGGTTGCATTGCCACAATCGCACGACTGTGGCTTGTCCTGAACTTCCATTTTATAAATCCTAACAAGGATGATGCTGGCATACAGTAATAGTATCTCATTGTCCCACTGCTGCTCTCTAAAATAATTGGGTCCATGGTTTTTGACTCAAGGTGACATCGACTCATAATGGGTGGACTGATCTGTTGGTCACAATTGCACCTTTTGCTGTCCAAAAATCATATTCTGTGAATATGAATATGAGTATTATTATTATTACTACTCTTACGTGTATGTATGCATATTGAATGTCTTTTGTACCGTACGTAGCCAACCGTGATAATCGGAGGTGCGTGGAAAGAACAACAAATTAAACACAAAAAGCAGTTCTAAAAAAAAATTAGCTTTCAATTTAGATCGGAGTTCACTGCACAGACAAGGTGAGTTAACGCTGCTGTTGGCAAGTTTATCAGCAAGGCGGCAAATGAAGGGATGCTGGGAGCAGCACCACGCATGCCGGGCCATCTTCGTCTCCCCTGTGCTGTTGCTCACGTTAATAGCACTGCACCAGATACTCATTTTAGACAGGGCTCAACTTGAGCAAGGATCAGGTTCTAGTTGCCGCAAGCGTCGCACAGCGCGTCCAATAATTGCATCAAGATTTTAGCGCAGAGAGTTAACATCTGCCACCGTGAAACACGCTTTGTTAATTGCAGGTCCCGTATTTAGCGAGGTGTAAGATCACAAAACGTCACAGCATGTCTTTTATGAAACCGAGACCAGGTACATACTACATGAGGGAGAATGGTACGGCAACCGAACAACATTCGATGTCATAAGCAATTCAAACGTTGGAAGCCAACCTGTAATCATATCACCGTATATTGTCAACGTACAGAAGAAATTCACTTACTGCTTCTGTGATTGTACACAAGTCGCTAGAATGAAAACCAACCAGCCCCACAGTCTGCTATGCCAACAAAAAACCGTAATTACTTTAAACTTTGCATACATACAAAAAAAACTGTGCTGTAATGTGGCTGGCATGGGTCTCGGTGCAAGTAATGACATGAGGTCCCCTGTCCAGGTTTGTAACCGGGTGACGGGGCCTCTGTAGCCCATGGGTCCCGGTTGCAGTTGCGCCCGCCTGCACGCTCGATGGCTAAATGGCGACGCAAATGTATGTACTGGATGTTGAACTTCCTTCGCACCGTACGTTGCCAAACATGCTAATCGGAGGTGCGGGCAAGGACAACAAACTAAACACAAAATGCAGTTCTCAATAAATGGGATTTCAATTAATGTTTAAAAGTGCCGAGCTCCAGTGGCTTCCTAATATCGGAAGGAAGAGTGTTCCAGACGGCAGCAGAATACTTTTCCTGCCGATATCAGGAAGCCAAACCATTCAGCAAAGTCAAACCAGACGCTCGTTTCTCTACATGACAACCCAGCAGCAGCAAAACCCAACATTCGAGCCCAGCATTTAACAGAGTTGGTATATAGGTCAAATGACCACAAATACACACAACATAAAACCTAGACTTGCCAAGAAACAGACATTGGTGGTTGACTGGTTACGGTTGCCGGGGGACAGTAGCTGTACCTCGGCTTCTTCATGCCCCTGGTTTTTTGCACGTAAAGCCAGAGTTCGATGTCGAGAGGCAGGGGACGAACGCTGCACTTGAGTCCTCGGTGCAGGACCCGGTAGACGTCGCTCTTTTCCATCGGTCCCCTTCCCTCCCCTCCGCCGAAGTCTCTCTACCTCTCGGATGCGTCGTCGTAGTCTTCTCCACGCAGAGTGCACCGATCGGCTACTCTTTACGCGACAGTCCACGTGTCAGGTTACAGCTCTGTTGTGTAATAAATCAATAAGCGTTCAACACTTTTACAAACGAATGAAAGTGAAAATAACCTAGGCAGGAAAAAAAAACTCGCCTGCAATTGCCAATTTTGTCAGAACATTCTACAGAGAATTGTAGAACAAAAGGCAGCCCACTGAATTTAAGAGAAAAAGTAATCGTGGAGCTGCGATGTTTCAGAGCTTCCGGAGTGGCAACTTGATTTAAATAATTAAGGAAACAAATGTGCTCGGCGGGTACTCACGGGGATTCGCGCGCATGACACAGGCTTCAAGTGCACGTCAGCGACCCGTCCACACGTCGCCTGTGTCGGGCACCGACCGTGGCACCGCGAGGGACAATTCCCAGCCGCCGCCTCCTCCTCCTCCTCGGCACGCGATTATTGGGCGCGTTCGAGACGCCTCGGCGCTTCGTATCTTCAAAGGCGACACTGAATCGCTGCTCACTTGAACGAGCCACTCAGTTTTCTTGAAATTCGTTGTTCGGTGCACACGAATGTTAACGAAACGGGACTTCTCTCCGAATTTGTCGACGAAATTTGTGTTACAAAAAAAAACCCCAGCGAAATTGCATTCTTTCAAAATAGGAGACGTGAACGCAATTTTGTTTTTCACTTTGCTCTGGCAGTGGAGAGACCCGGCAGCTTCGTTTGCCCGCAGTAAAGGGCGGACGAAAGAGGTTTAGCGACGTCACTGGCAGCAGCACGAGGTGAGCTCGCGTGGTGGATCACCCGGCCCTCTGCGCCGTCCGTGGAGCTTCGTTGCCGAAGCCGGATCCTAATCGGCTTATGGCCTCAGGCAGCCTCGTCCTGCGACACCGGGATTTGGCGTCGGGGCACTGCTGCACGCCCCACGGTCTCTCTCTCTCTCTCTATTTAACCTAGGCCGCTCCGTCCACGCCGCTTGGTTCGGAGTGGGCGTCCTCTTCACGGCATGCGAGCGACGTGCGAAAACTGTCATTGCCCCCACGTGCGCTGGGCGATCATCCTCGAAATGCACCGGGCATGCTGTGTCCACGAACCTACAACTTGTGGGCTCAAACCCTTGATCCAAAAAAAAATCTGCTCTTCGCTGTAACAACATCCGATCTAAGCTATAGCTCTCACATCTGTCCTCGGGTTGTTCCCGGGAGCAAAACGTCGGACATCCATGCCTAACAACACGGGGTACAACAGAGAGCTAAGCAGTGTAAACTGCAAAAAGAAAAAAAGAAACGACACAGCCGTATCCATTCTAAGCTATTTTTTAAAATCTAAAGCATTTCGAGCAAATAAACACGGATATATATTTTTTTACTCAAAGCTAATTTGTATTTTTGGCAGCCATCTGTACGGCGGATTTTTTTTTGCTTGTTGCCATCCTGACATTTGGCAACGGCGTAGGGTGCCCGATGAAGGACGCGTGTTGAAAGTATATTTACACGCCAGCCATAATCTAGCCACGAGGGGTTCAGTCGCACGGAGCTCTCAGCTCTACCATCAGGACAGTAGCTTAACCCGTTCGCGGATTTCACAGCTTTTAGCTGCAGCGGCCAAGCAGTTTACGGGTCAAGCGCCCCCCCCCCACAAGCACACGTGGCCTTGTGAGTGAAGGGCTCAATCAAGACACCATGGTGCGGTTATGATTTATTTGGTTTTTTTTACTTTTTACCTACAACCATCCACAAAATTAGAAGCAATTTTAAACTTTCGAAATAAATGTTTAACAAAAGGAGGAAAAACAATACAATACAACCCAATCTAAGCAGGGAAACCCCACGGAAAAAGGTTGTTGTTGGCATTGCACAGGATTGGAACCCACCGATTGCTCTTAAATTATTAAGTTTGAATACATCACAAACATTCATATCTCACGCACACAATGCGTGACCTTGACAGCACACTCAAACCCCAAATTCTGCTCTGCAGAAACAATCGCACCAGAATGATTATGCTGATGATGATAATAACGTCAGCCACTTCCGTGACCTTCTGTGGAATCGATTCGTGGAGAGGCGTCGGGAAGAAACGAAAAACAATCGACGTGTGGAGTCTGGCTTCCTCTCGAGGAAGGTGCAGACGAAGCAGTTTCAGCTTATTTATTTTGGTATAGCCCTGTGAGCCATTCGGCTCCTGAATCGGGTGCAACCACAACAAACAAAAAATAAAAACACGAACAAGAAAAACATCTTAAAGTGACTATGTGAGTGTGCAAACAGAAAATCCATGAAAAAAACTGCTAAATATTCCTGAAAAAAGCACCGTACACCAACGCTGTGTGCAAAAAAAATCCCAGTGGGATGCAAGTCAAACAACAACAGCCACAAGAAAACTTAGATTAAGGCCATCAGTCTAACTCCGTACTACAACAAAACAAACATGTCCAAACCAAAAAACGTCTTCGAAATCACCAAAAAATACAGCCATAATTGCAACGTAACAGTGATCATAGGGATTGTGACCGAATTTTTACAATAAACTACATAAATAACATGTAACACCAAATCCTAGAGCCATAGCTGGCTGCATGAGTTACTCCACAACAACAGAAGCATCAGTCAGAGTATCAAATTTTTCAATGCACCTTTAAGATCAGCACGCTAAATCAAAATAAAGATAATACTTTGCAGCGTCATCCGGAGCGAAACATTTTATTTTATTTTACGCCAATGAATAGCAGTGGCAGCTAGGGGTGTACAACTCCTCTAGAACAGTTTTGAGAGAAGATCTCATTGGTAGCGATTCAAGTTGCAGTTTATTGGCAATAGCATTCCAGACCCTGGGGGCATCAATAGCAAAGGCCCTTCCTCCAGTTTTTGTACGGCAATAAGTTGGTAAATGAGCGAAGACCTGAGGTCAAATTTGTTCTTTGAAACAGAGAGGAGATCCAGCAGGTAGTCTGCTGATTTTTTTGTAAGTACATCGTCAATAAATAAGATCTGGTGCACAAGCAGTCGAACATTAAGAGATGTTAAGTTTGACCCAATGTAGATATCACAGTGGTGAGTCCTATATGGGCAGTTCAATGTAAATCTTAAGGCAGAGTGATAGATGGAATCAAGCTTCTTCAGTACAGTACTTGGGGCTGATTTATACACGATGTCACAGTAGTCAAGTAGAAGCAGTATGGTAGCTTTTATCAATTCCAAACGGAACATTGGGGGGAAGCAGTGCTTGTGTCGATACAGTATAATCAATGTGATCTTCAAAATTCAGTTTTGAATCCAGGATGACCCCAATATACTTATAGATCTTTACTTTCTCTATTTGATAATTATTTAAGGAATGTAATTGGGGAAAAATAACTTCCTGCTTTAGTCCTAGTGAGAAGCATAGCATCTTGGTTTTGGAGGTATTCAGGACTAGTTTAAGAGCAACTAGCTGATGTTGTAGTTTGTTGAAATCACCCTGTAGCTTAGCAATCACGTCATCAGGAGAGCGGCCAGCAGTAATCAGTATCGTGTCATCTGCAAAAAGATTTACCCTGGAATGATCCAGGTCAGTGCCCAAGTCATTGACATAAAGAGAGAACAAAAGGGGGCCGAGGATGGAACCCCTTTTGTTATCTTAACACTGTTTGACCTCCAACCATCTGTGAATACAGGTTGGGTGCGAGAAAAAGGTAATTTTGTAACTATTTTACTGCGTTTTCGGAAAAACCGAGGCAACTTAGTTTACTAAGCGGGGTGTTGTGGTCTACTGTATTAAAAGCTTTGGACAGGTCTAGAAAAAGACAGGCACAGTACTGCTTATTATCAAGGCTACTGTAAATGTGATTCAGAGAGTCTTATGCAGCAAATGTGGTGCTATATTTTTTTCGGAACCAAGATTGTTTTAGATGTAGTAGATTGTTGGTGGACAGGAAACTGCTAATTTGGTAGGTCAATAATTTTTCTAAAATTTTCATCAACGGGGACAAAATTGAGATAGGTCGGTAATTATTTGGATCATCTTTATGGCCCCCTTTGTGAAGTGGACGGACATAGGAATGTTTCCATTCTAGAGGAACTGATGCTTCTTTGATGGACAGGTTGAAAATATGGGCTACAGGTTTGTATATTAGGTGACCAACAGTTAGTAGAGCAAAGATGGGCATACTATCTGCTCCGGTAGAGGAGGACCCTTTGAGGTAGGACAGTTGTTTCAGAACATTACTTTCGTGGATTGTCTGGAAACTAAATTCGTTTAATGTTTGGACAGGGGTGTAGGAATTTGCATGAGCAGGGGTGACTCCCAATACATTATCATAAAGATTACCAGCTTCAGAAAAATGAAGGTTAATATTAATAATTGTTTTTTTACCCTTTTATCTGGCAACAAAACTGACACTTTTTTACAAGGAGTCATGTTTACATTGACCACAATACCTGCGGCCGGAACGCAAACAAAAAACAACAACTCTGATAATGTATGTGGCACTGTCCTTGAAATTGATTGGTCCACACCCGAGAGAGCTTTCTTTAGAGCCTCGTCTCACATGGTGATGGACCAGAAGACGCCAAAAGGCGCACAACTCAAAGACAATGCACCATCAGAGTATGAGAGCTCGGGGTAAGCAGTAACAAAAAATAATAATTGTTTTTTTACCCTTTTATCTGGCAACAAAACTGACTCCTTTTTACAAGGAGTCATGTTTACATTGGCCACAATACCTGCAGTCGGAACGCAAACAAAAAAAACAGAGTTGTTTTTTTGTTGTTTTTTTGTTTGCGTTCCGACCGCAGGTATCGTGGTCAATGTAAACATGACTCCTTGTAAAAAAAGTGTCAGTTTGTTTGCGTTCCGACCGCAGGTATTGTGGTCAATGTAAACATGACTCCTTGTAAAAAAGGTGTCAGTTTTGTTGCCAGATAAAAGGGTAAAAAAACAATCATCATTTTTTGTTACTGGCAAATGAGGTTTCCAATGGTGTAAAGGTTAATATTGTCAACTATTTTTTTGGGATCTGAAAAATATTCCCCATTTCGGTTAAGCTCAACGGGCAGATTGTCTGTTTTGGATGCCTTTTCGATAAATGTGATTGTTTTCCAGAAAATCCTGGCATTTCCATGTGATTCCAGGAGAGTGGAGGAAAAGTAGGCATTTTTTGCATGCCGTATTTTCTTGACGCATCTATTCCTTAAAATCCTGTATTCTAGCCAGACATTGACCAAATTACTTTTCTGAGCACATGCCCAAGCCTTGTCCCTAGTTTTCATGAGCTTTGTAATCAAAGGATCAAACCATGGTGGGCGGTTGCCTTTAGTTTCAAATCTAACCAACGGAGCATGTTTGTTAAGAATTTGGAGAAACGTGTACCTGAAGGTCCCCCAAGCCGTAGTCAGGTTGGGGATTTCACAGACCTTGTCAATATCCGAGTGAAGCACATCATTAGTAAATGCCTGAGTGCTGAAGTGTCTCATAGAGTGCTTTTCAACCAATTTAGGGGGGCTTTGGGTCTGGCTGATGATCTCCCCCCAAAAATGAAGGAGTGATCACTAAGGTTATTACCCAGAACACCAGTCAGTGTGAAATTGTGAGGGGCATTTGTCAATAGGACGTCAAGCAGAGATGACCGTCCCGGATTTTTTTAGGTTGGGTCTTGTGGGGACATTTATTAATGAAACAAATTAAATTCATCTGCAAAAATTTGTTGCCAGGGCCGGCGGGTTTAGCCAATTCCAATTTAGATCACCCACTAAAACTATTTCACCTTTAGGGAGGCCCCCAAAAAGCTCTCTCAGTGCAGATGCAGCTTCAACATCCTTCCCACTAGGCGGTCGATAGCAGCACACTACGCTCGCGTGTGCCAGGGAACAGGCTCGCAATTCGTTACATTTTGCTGACTAATGAGGTCACGGGCTCTTTCTTGGCAGTACCGATTGCACATCTGTCAGAATCGGTACTGTCGATTGCAAAACTGATCGGGTTTCCCTGGGATTTTTTATTATTTTAATTTGTAGCTTTTGTTGCTTCTTCATTTTGTTCCGTTAAATGGTACTGGATTGAAGAATATCGGTGACATTACCGAATGCAATTATAAGTGATGAAAAAGTAATGATGACGTAGGAATACAAGAGGGCGCACGTTGACTTTGATGTCATGAGCTGCAGCTGGATCACCTCCACTCTTTCCACGCACAGTAAACGCCACACATTGCGAAATGCGATTGTGCCTGCCTTATCACACAATTCCATGACGCACGCAATAACTTACGTGCTTAAAAGTATAGCAGTGCCGTTACAATGCCATCACTTTAAACTTTAACTTCAATGTTATCCAATTCGAGTGACTGAAGTCCACAGCGAAAGGAAAGCGAAATACCGTGCTTTGTAAAGGTTGTGGATTTGCTCTCCAACACAGCGGCGTGCTGTACTAGTAACGAATTGGCCACGTTCTGTTTAAGTGACAAACCTTGCTAATTACGCGATCTAACCCCCCCCCCCCCCCCCAAAAAGCCTGTATTATGGATGATATTCGTCGCAGAAGCCTACGACGTGTTAAACTAACTGTGCTGTGTTTAACATTGCAGTTTGCGAATACGTCATCGCCCTAAACGCCATTCACGAAAGAGGCGCGCTTTTAAAACGCTCCGGCCATTGGAAATTAAACCTGCACAGCGAGTTGTCCTTAAATGTACTGCTCTTTAACAGGCGTGTAACAATTCCCCCAACCCCGCCTGGCTTATGCAATGAACTGTAGCGATTCAAGGGTCGATTGCTGAATCACAATTAGGGTCAATATTATATTCTTGTTTTGTCATGCCGTGGTGAATCTCGCAGGATACATGTGTACATACAACAACAATTCGTACAAATCTAAATATGAATGCGTACGATGAACTTCTTTCGCACCGTGTGTTGCCAACCGCGCTAAGCGGAGGTGCGGGAATACATCCGTACATTTTTTACACACGCGATCTGTTGTTGGATCGTGAGCTAGAATAACCAATATTAATCTACGAATAATATGCATGGTTACAGCCCTCCAATTTAATACCAAGCCTTGAGTAAAACATTATCTCTTCTGTCGTGATAACTGCCACGGATCATTTCAGCCGGGTGTATACTCGTCGATGAGCAGGAAAATGATTTCACACCTGGGACACATCATCCAGTATGCATCTACGGCTGGAGCTACTC